AAGTCCTGACTTCCCTTTTTGGCTGAGGGTGGGGCAGGCCGAGGTGGGTCAACTGGGGACCTGCACCTGGCTAGGAGCAGAGTGGGGCGAGGGTGCACAGGGAGCCCTGGGGATTGTGTTGGGGAGAGGGGGTCTGGAAGCCTTGTTAGTAAACAACGGGCCTTTTCTACCCACATCCTTCTTCTGTTCAGGAGAAGAATTGTGTTAAAAAAAAAAAATTTATTGAGATGAAATTTACATAACATAAAATTAATCATTCTCCCGTTTTCTTTCTTTCTTTTTTTTAATATTTATTTAATTTGGCTGCGCCAGGTCTTAGTTGCAGCATGTGGGATCTTCGTTGCGGCATGCGGGATCTTTAGATGTGGGCATGTGGGATCTTTTAGTTGCGGCATGCAGACTCTTGGTTGTAGCACGTGGGATCTTTTAGTTGCAGCATGCAGACTCTTAGTTGCGGCATGCAGGATCTAGTTCCCTGATCGAACCCGGGCCCCCTGCATTGGGAGCACAGAGTCTTACCCACTGGACCACCGAGGAAGTCCCCAAATTAATCATTTTAAAATGTACAATTCAGGGGCATTTAGTACGTTCACAGTGTTATGCAACCATACAGTCTGCTGGTTCTAAAACATTTTCAACACCCCGAAAGGAGATTCACACCCCTTAGCGGTCACTCCCATTCCCTCCCTCCCAGCCCCTGGCAACCACTCACTTACTTTCGTCTCTGTGGATTTGCCTATTCTGGACATTTCATATGAATGACATCATGCAACATGTGACCATTTGTGTCTGGCTTCTTTCCCTTAGCATCATGTTTTTGAGGTTTATTCATGTGGTAGCATGTATCGCTACGACAGATCTTCCTCGACTTATGATGGGATTACATCCCAATAAACCCATTGTAAATTGTAAGTTGAAAGTGCACGTAATACACCTAAGCTACCAAACTTCATAGCCTCACCTCGCCTACCCTAAATGTGCACTTACATTAGCCTACAGTTGGACAAAATGATCTAACACAAAGCCTATTTTATAATAAAGTGTTGAAAAGCTCATGCAGTGTATCGAATACTGTACTGAAAGTGAAAAAACAAAATGGCTGTAAGTGTTTCAGTTGTTTGTGATTGTGGTTGACTGGGAGCTGCGGCTCCTTGCAGCTGCCCAGCATCACAAGAGAAGATCATATCACTAGCCCGGGAAAAGATCGAAATTCAGTATTCCAAGTACAGTTCTATCGCATGTGTATCGTTTTTGCACCATCTTAAAGTCAGAAAACCTAGGTTGAACCATGGTAAGTCGGGGGCCGTCTGTACTCTCCTTTTTATGGCTGAATAATTTATATTTTTTATTAGGTATGTTTTAAGTGGATAGGAGACTTTTGAAAGAAAAAAATATTTTTTAGAAAAACCAACTTTGTTGGTCATTTAGTGCCTAGTGTTTTTGTTTAATAACAGCTTTACTGAGTTATAATCCACATACCATACAGTTCACCCATTTAAAGTGTACAATTCAATGGTTTTTCATTTGTTCACAGAGTTTGTGCAGTCATTGCCACAGTCAATTTTAGAACATTTTCATCGCCCCTCATAACCCCCCCAGCCCCCCCCCCCCCATTAGCCATCCTGATTATGTTTTAGGATGGTAAGTGGTCAGTCCTTTTGGACTGGCTGGCAGAGATTTAACTGGCTCTGATTTCCCACCACGTCACTTTCTCCACCTGTAATTATAAATGAAATTGGCCAGTTAGGTAACACTTCCTACTGGCAGGCACTTCTCAGGAATGTTTCATGTACATTATCTCATTTAAGTCACAGGACAACCCCATAGGTTGGCTGCCATTTTTGTCCCATGTTACAGATGGGGAAACTGAGAGACGCTAAGAGGTCCGAGGTCCAGCTGGGCTTCAAACCCACAAAGTCTTAGCGGAACCACTGTGTTGTACTGATGGGGCAGCTGAGCTCCAGGCCTTTAATGCCGACTTGCACCAGCCTCTAGGGCTGTGATTCCCATCACCTACCTGCTCAGCAAATGCCCTTCCTCAGGGGGCTTTGCAGATGGGACCCTGAGCAAGGTGAGGGAGAAGAGGCAGAAGGAGGAGCGGCTGGGGAGGTGGAGGGCTGGAGGCCAGCGGCAAGTGGAGGGAGCTTGGGGGCCTGTTCTCTTGCCCTCCCCCACTCTAACATAGCAGGTTCTCTGACAGGTGGGCTTTCCAGAACAGCTGAGCAGAGCCCCCCTGTTCCAGGAGCCCTGGTAAGGAAGGAGCCAGCACTGCCCAGAGCATGGCCAGAATTTCCAGCAAAGTTCAGGGATGCCCCCTGGTGGATTTGCACTCCTGACTCAAAAACAAAGCGGTTCTCCAAGGCTTCCCTGGATCTGTGGGGCGACGAGCCAGCCACTGAAGGCGGCGGGGATCATTTTTCAACCTTAGCATGTGATCAAGATTCAGTATTGCGGAGGGCAGAGGTGGGGGTCGGGGGTTAAGAATTAAGAACCTGGGTTCTAGCATAAGATGGAATTGGCTTCAAATCCCAGCTCTGCAGCTCAGTAACTGAGCATTTTGGGGCAAGTTAGTTGTGGTGGAGGGAAGCAGATGGACTGGGGAGGGATTCGTTTTAAGATTGGAGAGTGACTTGGTGAGGAAAACTGATAGGGCCAGGTAATTGAGCAGACAGGGCGTAGGGTGAGGCATATGGGGGATGCTCGGGCAGGGGGAGGTTTTGTTTTCCGGGGCCTCCCAAGTAGGATCTGCACCCCCAGCTGGCTGGAGCCACCAGCCTGTGGATTCTTCCCCCAGGTAGCCGGCGGCTGGTGGATGTGATGGACGTGAACACACAGAAAGGCACGGAGATGAGCATGTCCCAGTTTGTGCGGTACTATGAGACGCCCGAGGCCCAGCGGGACAAGCTGTACAACGTCATCAGCCTTGAGTTCAGCCACACCAAGCTGGAGCACTTGGTCAAGCGTCCCACCGTGGTAGGCACCCCCGCCCCCGCCCCCC